GAAATCACTCAGAGAAGGGAATCTTTTTTTTTTGGTCAGGAAACCTATTTTCTTTACCCTATTTTCCTTCTGGGTTTCATCTACTATCAGGTCTGTCATTGTCCTAAAAAGAACATCAATGTTTTAGAAAAGCATACCTCAAGCAGCTGTAATAAAATCTCAGACTGATAAAGTTAACTTTCTCACTCAGTATCTGATTGTATAGTTTGTGAATGTCATTCATCTTAGAATTATATAGTGTTAGAACTGGAAGGGTTTGTCCTTACAGATTAGCTAGATCAGTACCCTTTTTTTTACTGATAAATCTGAGACCTGAACTCTCAAACCTAAAGAAGTAGAGTGACATTCCTAAGGTCTCTGATACTTCTAAGGTAATTAGCAGAAGCCATACTGGAAGCCATAACTTCTTATTACTGAATTCGTTGTGTCCATGGCCTTTTTTCTTAGTAAGCCTGTCTTTGAAATGTTTTATTTAGTAATTTCAGAGGCTACATGGTGATTAAGAAAAATCAATGAACTCAAAACCCATCCCCTTCGTTTCCTATTAATATTGCCATATAATATTGCCATCTGGAGATGTGGTTTGGCTGTTTGGATTATTTCTGGTGTCTCTTATTGGACCCCACATCTCCATGTGTGACCGTCCCACGGCTCAGCCATATCCACCACTAGTTATTTGAACCAGGCGGGCTGACTCTTCTTCTCTAAATTCTCTACATCCTCACTGCTGAATTTGTGTTGGTCCAGGGTAAGTGTCCTGCTGTGCAGTAAGACATGATTTAGAATCCTGCATCTGCCTTTTACTTAAACTTGGTCGTCTTAGGTGAGTGATTGAAATTCTTTAGGCCTCAGTTGCACCAGCTGTAAATTGAGGATAATCATTTAACCATTTTCATAGAGTCTTTGCATTGAATAAATTTTTGAAACTGTACAGAAAGTACTACTGTTATCATTATTCTTAACCTGAAGGGTGATGAGAGCAAAGCAGCTAATAATTTAAATGCTATGTTCAGAGCTTTAGAATGAATCTCAATTTAACGTTCAGTCCGGCCTCTTTCACAGCAAATGCAATAATAATCAAAACCGTTCTGATCAGAATTGACATTGGATTGGGCTTTACTAGTACAAAACGCTTGGCATTGTTTACTGTTAGGATATTTCCTTTGTTTTGGACATTGTATTTAGTGATTTTTCCATGCAAGAGTACAAGCACACTAAATTCAGATAAATTATCCTGCTATTGGCAACATAGGGGATTTGATGAGTACTTGTTGAATGTGTGTTGGGTGAATCATCTAGAATCTATATATAGTGATAGAAACATGGATTATATGTTGCTTCGCATGACAGATTCAGACCACATCAAGGGTGAGGACTATTACTTTGTGTCATTTTCCCTTCGTTTTCTGAAAAGAAAGTCTCTTACCTAGTTCAATATTAAGCTTGTGTGGATTGTGGTTGTCCATTTTGTGTATTATCTGAAGCATAGCTTTGATCTCTGGCTTCCTTTTTCCCCTGCGAATATATCTGGTACCATAGTTTAGAATATCTACTAATGTTTCTACTGTCCTGAGTGGGGGTCCTTTAGGAAAGTCAGGGCATTCTAAAACCCTATATGGGTAGATGTTCGGGTAGCATGTGCAGTTTGTCTGCCCATGACTTTGTGGATGTCCAAGAGTGGACTGTGTGTATACTTGATGCACAGTCATAAGAACCAAAAATCAGAACTCAGCTATCAGAAGTCATAGAAGGGAGTCCGTCTTAACTCTCCTTTCCCATGCCTCTTATTATCCTTTCACCTTTTATCCCATGGTAGAATCCCACAGACTCCCCCTGCCAGGTGGGTGGCCTCAGCAAGCACCCCCTCTCTGGCTGCTTTGTCACTCTGTATCACCCTGCCACTCAGAAGCAAAAGTGACACATGTTCTGCCCACCACTCCATCAGAAAGTCAAGGCAGCCACATCTTACAGCAGCTCTGGTGCTCAGTTAAGAAACCTGCCCTCTCAGACTTCAATAAGGTTCTCATTTTCCTATGGTCTGGTGGTACAGGGGTTAACGTGGTGCCTGCTTTCTTCAATGTATGGTCTTGGGGGTCATAGCAGTAGATCTGCAGAGTTGGCAGATCACTAAATACTTTACAACTCCCCACCCAGCAGGGCATGGTCAACTTAGAGAATGGATGGAAAATATCCCCTTGCTATAATTGGGTTCAGCCCTGTGGCTTAACACCATCTTATTTGGCAATCTTTTTCTCTTGACATATTTAGTAATCACTCTAAGGAAGATTTATTACACTGCTCATGGGAACAAACAATGCACTAAATATTACACATATGCATGCTTTCAATACCACTCCTTTTCTAGCCTCTTTTGAATCTTTCCCCAAAGTCTTTCTTTCATCTCTTATCAAAACTCTCTTGTCTTTAAATTCCTTAGTTCTTCTCTTGTCCAAAATAACCTTTTACATTTTGGAAATTTTTTGTAGTTAGGGGCTCTTTTAATCAAAATTCACTGGGCCATGCTTAGAAAAGAATGGATAAAAACACACTTTCACAGCTTAAAACCATTGAAGACATTCTGTTCACCATTAGTCCCAAAGCATCAAAACAAACAATTAGCATATGTTTAGGGTTGTGAAAATAGCCCCTTAGATATCCCTGTGTATGTAGCTATAATATTAATATTCATATATATTAATATATATGAAAGAACTCAAAATATTTCAGCCAAACATAATACAATAAAATGTTTTATGAACCTGAAGGTTGGTACCCGTGAAGAGATGTGAGGGAAAGAGGCACTGAAAATTAGGATTAACAACTCATGCTCTCTGCTAACAAAAAACCTTTGACAGGCCGGGCGCGGTGGCTCACACCTGTAATCCTAGCACTCTGGGAGGCCGAGGCAGGCGGATTGTTTGAGCTCAGGAGTTCGAAACCAGCCTGAGCAAGAGCGAGACCCCGTCTCTACTAAAAATAGAAAGAAATTAACTGGACAACTAAAAATATATAGAAAAAATTAGCCGGGCATGGTGGCGCATGCCTGTAGTCCCAGCTACTTGGGAGGCTGAAGCAGGAGGATCGCTTGAGCCCAGGAGTTTGAGGTTGCTGTGAGCTAGGATGACACCACGGCACTCTAGCCCGGGCAACACAGTGAGACTCTGTCTCAAAAAAAAAAAAAAAACTTTGACAGCCGGTGCCCCTCAGACATTTTTTTAAAAGCATAATATCCCACTCACCCAGGCACGTGCACAGCAAAATGTCTTAACAAATTACCTATCTAGAACAGAAATCTGAGAAAATTTATCAGGGTCATGGAGACTCTCAGAAGATTATAAGTTGTAATGGCACAGCTCCAGTATGGCTACTCTGTGTATGTTAAAGTCTATTTTCTTTACAAATGAAATGTTCTTCGTTCATCAGATATGCAATAATGGCTATCTGTGCTTTTGGGGGAGCCCACACAGTGCTAGGCACAGTCCTAGATATACTCATTTACTTAACACTCAACTACATGTCTGCCACTGGCCTCATTTTCCAGACTGGCCACATTTTACACAGAGAAGGCAAAGCCACCATAAGGACAAGCAGCTGGCTAGTTGAAACAGTTAAATTAGGGACCTGTGTAGCTACCACTGAAACAGTAACACAATGCCATTAAAAAAGATAGCGATTGGCCTTATCACCCCTACCTGCATGCCCTCCCCAGGCCTCAGTTGTCTCATCTGTAAAATGAACTGTTGAGAGAACTTAAGGTGTGAAGCCCTGACACATGGCAGTAGCTCATTTAAGTCCCTTGCTGCCCCTACATTGCCTTGTTTTCTTATCTTAGATTACACATATTCCTACTTGTGATTTTTAGGGGTGGGATAGTAAAAGCACAAATTCAGGAATTAGTTGCTGGCAAGAACCTTCATTCAGCTACTGGCATTGCCAGCCCAGAGGTGTATGGTGAGGAGCTAAGAGCACAGGTTCCGGAGCCAGACTGCCTGGTATAGCCCAGCTCTGCCTCTTACCATGTGTGTGACCTTGGGCAAGTGACTTGGCTTTTTTTGTCTCAATTTCCCATCTGTAAAATGAGGCTAGCAATTGTACCTACGTTGTAGTTTCTTGTAAGGATTAAATGAGCTAACCTGTATAAAGAGCCTAGAACTGTGTCTGGCATGTAGTAGGGGCAGTTAAATTTGTGCTTGTATTCTCATGTGCACTTTGATGGCAGGCATACAGTACCTGGGCAAAGCAAATTCAACGTGGGGGTAACATGCAGAATAAATCCCATTGTTCTCATTTCACATGATTCCCATGTATCCCAGCCAGGCTCTTACAGTTACAGCTTTCTTTATTCCTACATATACAGACAAAGAAAACCAAGGAATACAAGGACCCTCAAGGTGAACTTCTTGTCTTTTATGGTAGAGAGTGATTGAATTGCATGAGGAGATCATTTAGCTGCCCTGCAAATCAGCAGCAAAGGATGGACTTGCAGAGGACCTCTGCATTCGGAATTGTACCTTAGTTCACTTTTTACATCACATTTTCAAGAGGGAGACTGAACAGGGGACCTATGTAAGATTTCCAAACATTATAGACCAATTGGGTCGCAAATAAAGACCATATGGAAATAATGCTGGTGCTTTAATGTAGCACTTCTCAAACTTTAGCTGCATCAGAATTTCCTGGAGGACTTGTGAAAACCCAGATTCCTAGGCTCCACCCCCCCCCAAGAATTTTCATTTCTGACAAGCTCCCAGGTTGTGCTGATGCTGCTGGTTTAGGGGACACACTGTGAGAGCCACTGGTCAAGTGTGTGTTTTGCGTCCCTACTATCTATTTCTTATCTCAGGTTATAATATTTAATTTCAACTCTTTAGCTTAGAAATGGAATGAATGACTCCCCCCTCAAAAAACAAAAAACAGAAATATTCAAACCCACAGAGCTGATGTCTGTCTTATTAACATCTAATTTTTCAGTAATAAACACTGTCATTTTTTCCCCACAGTTGCATGCTGCTGTGACCAAGATCCAGGTTCCAAGGCCTGGTTTTAATTACACGTTTGCCCACATATGTATCCTGAATAATGATAAGACTTGCATCGTGGATGACATAGTGCATGTCCTGGAAGAGCTAAAGAATGCTCGGGCCACCAATCGGACCAATTTTGCTATCACATACCCAATCACTCACTTAAAGGACGGGAGGGCCGTGTACAATGGGCATCAGCTTGGAGGTGTCACCGTGCACAGCAAGGACCGGGTGAAATCTGCAGAGGCCATCCAGCTCACCTACTACCTGCAGTCAATCAACAGTCTCAATGACATGGTGGCTGAGAGGTGGGAGTCCAGCTTCTGCGACACTGTCAGACTGTTCCAGAAATCCAACAGCAAAGTCAAAATGTACCCTTACACGTCCTCATCACTGAGGGAAGATTTCCAGAAGACCAGCCGTGTGTCAGAACGTTACCTGGTCACCAGCCTGATCCTGGTGGTCACTATGGCCATCCTCTGCTGCTCTATGCAGGACTGCGTCCGCAGCAAACCCTGGCTAGGTCTGCTCGGGTTGGTGACCATAAGCCTGGCCACTCTCACTGCAGCTGGAATCATCAATCTTACTGGTGGGAAATACAATTCCACCTTCCTGGGAGTCCCTTTCGTCATGCTAGGTAATTACTACCCTTTATTTTTCTGTTTCCTCCTACTGTAGTGCTATGTTCCTAAAAGGCCAAGACTAGCCATCTAACAACTTTGTTTCATTTATAGTGTCCTCATTTTGCCAAGAAGTCCTGCAACCAATTCTGTAAACTGCTGGTCATTAGCAAGGGGCAACCTAATCTGGTAAATGTACCAGAAATCCAAAGTCCTGGGTTCCAGCCCTCATTCTCCATTAAGTAGCTGTGTGGTATTTAGCAGATATTAATCTTCTCTGTGCCCCAGTGTCTTAGGTTGAGCTTCCCCAGAAGCAGACCCTGAGACAAGGATTTGTATACAAGTAGTTTATTTGTGAGGTGAGCCCTGAAATCACCAGTATGGGAGCGAGGAAGTGAGACAGGAAGGTGGACAGTTCAGGGTATGTTCATGAGCAGCTTATTGCTGTGGGCACCTGTGGATCAATCCCACTGGGAACCTTTGGGAGACACTGTGAAACACACTTCAGAGAGGACCTCCCTGAGGGACGAGGAAGCTGGGCTATTTACCCAGAAACCCTGTGATTCACTGAGGGCTGCTCCCCAGGGTAGTTAACTCCCCAGCACTTCCCAGGGAAGACTGAGCCTACTCTTGCAGCCAGAGAAAGGCCTCAGGTGACTTTGTAGTAATAAGTCTTCAATGATTTCAAGAATGGTGAATAGAAGTGCACATGGATTGGGCACTAATAGTGTCTCCTACTCTCAGTTTCCCCACCTTATGAAAAGAGCGGATGTGAACATCACACAAAAGGACGTGCTAAATGTGCAAGAACTTTGAAAGTAACATGTGAGATATCAGTAGGAAGGTAACTTTTTTCCTGTTCTTCCTATGAACTCAGAGGAATATTTTAAAATGATAGTGACAGTTATAGTGTGCTTCCAGTATATTCACTTTGGGGGTGCTGCAGGAATTCCATGATAGAGATAATGGTCAAAACAAAGCCAATAGTGGTCATAACATCGGTTGCTCTGTCCATCTGGTATCCAAGATGGCATGCCCAGCAAGCCTGATGGCAGGGTTTCTGTGGGCCAAGTATTCAAGCAGTTAGCTTTCCTCCTTTTCTGTGGCAACTTCTCATCAATTCCTTTAGCAAAATCAAAATGCCGTTTGGAATCAGATACTAATATGACAAATGAAGTGGCACTTTTCTTTGACTGAGAAATAACCATGGTTGAGTTCGTTAGTATGCCTTATGCCCTGTTTTGGAGTAGTAGAAAAGACAAGAATTTCCTTGGGAAATCTCGGTTGTGTTATGGTTAAATGATAACAAGCAGGGCTGGTGGGGCTGTAAGGCCACAGAATTACATACTGCCCTCGGTGTTCTGTGGCCTGTGGGAATTGAGACCTAGTCAATAAACATAGAACTAGTAGCTTTTGTGAAAAGTTGGGCACTGTGGGGAGACTGAGCAGCCTGAGAATTTGCTCGATCAGTTTACTTGTCACTACTGAAAACAACAGAGAAGGAGTCTGCTGTATTTGTTCCTGAATCCAGTCTGTTAAAAAAGCAGCATAACTGGCCTCTTTAAAACAACCTCAAGACCATGTGGGTTGATTGTAGAATACAAGGTGGTTCCTTGAAGAATGAGTAGGACTGAGTATTAGTAGCTTCCAAAAAGGCTTGAGTCAAAGTGTAAATTAAGATGTTTTGCCCATGATTAGTCACATGCTTGAGTGTTTTGGGGATTTTTTGAGTTTTTTTTTTTAGCTTTCAATTTTCAAAATACAGTGTTTTTTGTTGTCACTTTTGCAGGAGGAAGACAAACACGAATGAGAAAAGGGTGGGGAACTGAAGGTAGATAGTAAGGTTCTTAAGGGGAGAAAAAAGGATGTCAGAGCTAGAAAAAGGACCATGGGTGCTGGTTTTATGACATTCCAGGTTGTTACCAGTAAGCCCAAAGCATATTAGAATACATAAAACTACTTAAAAATTAATTATACTAAGTAAAATGAAATTACAATATTCAAAACTTCCTAAAATTAATTTTATTAAATAAAATAAATTACAGTATTTCAAACTTTTTTTGTACCTTTTAAAGAAGTTTTAAATATTGTAAGTAAAAGTCAACACGAAAAGACTATGCCAGATAGTATTGATATAGAGAAGGAGGTAAGAGATGGCAGAATGAAAAGATGCTGTTAGCAGGAGAGTGTCTTTTAAAAACAAATCCAGAAATAGTAGTGCCATAACTCCACAGACACTGGGTATCACTGAACTTTACGTCAGAGTTCAATTGAGAAAAATCTGGCATTTGCAGTGAAAGAGACCACGCACCGCAGGTGCCCAATACGCCCTTGTTTGCAATTTGTGAGGAATGTTACATGCATTGATTTGACAGCAGTTTTCCCTGCTGACGATCAGTGTGCAACCTTTATATTTTCAGCCCAAAGAGTTCTCAAATTACTTAGTCACAACATGAAAGGAAGCTACATGTTTTAGTAGCTAAAGCCCATTTGCAATAAATACTTCGCACGATATAATGGGTGCTTATATGCTCATAAAGCTAACAGTGCGTGGATTTAGGATGGTTGCCCTTCTGTATTTCTCAGATAAACTCTTCATTCTTTAGAGTTTGATTGTGAAATGAAATATAAGCAAGAACAGGTTCACAAATGATGCATTCAAGGCCAATGTTTCATTCTGGTTTTTTGATGACCAGTTCTAAAATGCCAATAAATATTTCAAATGACCAAGAAGAAATGCCATGCTAATGGTTTTGCACTGGGTCAATAAACTGTTTGTCCAGTATTTAAATTTGCCTGTCTATAACATAAAATGGCTACAGTTAACCTAAGCAGATTTAAGCAAAACTACTTGATTTAGTATGTTATATAAATACAATATCGAATTAAATAAAAAAAATATAGCCTCATTTAGAAGGAAAAGTATCTTAGAGTCTCAAATGCAGACATTTCCTTGGTTGTCAATAGGTCTATAATGTGATAAACATTATAGATTTAAAATTCAACAAACTAAACATACTCAGTGTGATTCTGGTCACATAAGGCCAGATTCAGCCAAATGCCAAAATGGCAGTAGATTTAGAATGGAAAATTTTAAGACCACATGTGTCAAGCGGTATTAACCTGACAAAATTCCAGAAGAGGAAAGAATTTGGATAAACTCTAAGAGTTCACCATAATGGGATGTGACTGTGTGTTTCTAGCCAAGACGATACGTGACATCTCTGGCAGCAAGAATATATCCTACACAGATGAATCATTTTGGCAATGATGTAAGCATAGATACATCATGATTTAGAATGTTTTTAATCAGTGTTGTGCATATTAGACGATCCCACTTCTGCCAAAACCTCTGTCCAGATGAGTCAGATCAGTTTATTTAGAGCTGAAATCCTAAAAGGTCTACACTATTAAAAATGCTCATTGACATTTTTTAGTTACTATAATTTGGAGAAGATTTTATTTGCTATATACCCATTATAATGCATAAAATAATGTCCCTTCTTTCCAAACTACATTGATATCAAGTAGTGAAGTACTTGAATTATCATTTGTAAACATATGATACTCATCATTTTAATCTGTTATGGAGTTTCCTTAAAGGATGAAGATTTATGCCATCGATTTCTAGTTGGGTATGATTTAAGAAATTGGCATAGGTTTTGTATGTGCAAGCTCTCCTTACAGTCTTAGTATTTCCACAGCTCTGCTAATCAGACAGACACAAATCAGGAAAGGGATGGAATGTTAGAGAATATGGAAGGGAACAGAAGGAAGGTTTTCTTCCTTCTGTGTCTGGAAAGTGTGTTGCTTCATGTACATTGTGTACAGCTAAAAAGGGAGAACTGAAGTCATAGTGAAAGATAGTTTCAATATTAGTTTCTACTTGGTAATCTTATTTATAAGGGTCACTTTGCATTTATCAAGATACAAGAGCCCTGGAGATTGGATGAGATAATAAATACTCTTCAAGCCCTTTTTTAAATGTTTGGGATTTTGAGGTCAAATGTCAGGTCCAGGGTGCCCTCTTTCTACCTGTTGAATTATCCACCCAGGCCTCTCGGAGTCAAGGATGTGAAAGGAAGAAAGAATGTGGATTAGTGTTAGGAAAAGAATAATAGGAGGGAAATTTGGCTGCTTTCAGCTGTATATTCTAAGATGATCTGTATTTAGCAGAAACCAGGAGAGAGATCGAGTTCAGTTCTTGAAGAATTTATTCTCATATGATCCCACTTGAAATAGGATGCAGTATATGGAACTTATAAAGGGGGGGCAAAAATTCTTGGTGCAAGAAATTTAGTTCCAACTGGAAAACTGGAATTCTTAATTATTTTTGCTCTAAACTTAAGCAAACCTAAAAGGTTTTGCTTTCCTGATGAGTATTCTGATATATTCCTAAAGTCATGAGAACATGGGGGAAAAATCACCCAGATAATAATAAAGTTTAAACCATATGAAATTGCCAATATCCAGCCATTTTTGACCTATAAAATTGGTACCAGTATATGGCTATTTTTGAACTACAAAAATGGTAATTTTGTATGGTTTGACCTAAAACATTATTGTAAAAATCCATTCCTTGCAACAATATGACAATCTGCCTGATGGAGTAGAAGTATATTAGAGTGCTGTGAAAATACTCTGCTTAGATATAAATCAGTAATAGGTTCAGTAGTTTCTATGAAAAAAGTTGGTTTATAAGGGGTTTTGTTCACATTTTTGGTATATCTGGTTTAAAATAAGATATTTTATTTTATAATATTTTCAAAGTTTGTTTCTTGAATATCTTTTTTTGTAATGGCGCATGGTCATTATGTGACTAATTTACAAGGAGATTGTGTAATCTAGTTTTTTGATTAGTTCTCAGCCTTTTATTTTTATGCTTCATCAATCATATTATGGTGAGGGATGGGTAGAGATAAATAGGTTTGGGAAGATGGAACAAAGCAAGTTCTGTTGTTCTATTCTTAACCATAAAGTAAAACAAGAACAGGACTGAGGATGCAGGTCCGAAAAG